TGTAAGTGGGCAAACCTGCAAAATCAGCAAGGGGTCAAATACTTATTCATCCTCGGGGCTCCAGCAGCGGCTGCGCGCTGCGCGCTTCCTGCTTCGTCCCGCGGAAGGAAATCCACCAAGACGTGAACGCGTCTGTTCCCCCACAAAACCTGCCGGATCCGGGTCCAAACCACTCGACCCGTGTCAGAATCTGGTTTAGGACCGATTTGGGTCCGGATTCCCGCTGGAGTCCCGGCGGAAAACATCTGTGCGCGACCATGAACGGAGGATCTCTCCGGACATAAACAAACGTGAGTGACGCACACTGCCGTGGATCCTAATGTTTTATTACGAGGCTGTAACGGTGTCCATAACTGTGAGATGATGAGATTAGAGCAGATTATGAGCCGGTAGGAGCTCCTGCCTGCACGGAGTTCACACACAGACACTTTTTTACCAGCCTTCGTTCTCTTTATTTCATTTAGAGAACGAGATAAACCTCACAGACCTTGAAAAATGACGTTAAGCCAGTTCAGATTGTGACATTCACAATGATATTTAGTGACATTTAGTGCATATTGTAGATGATCGTTTCAAATAAATAAGAAAAATGGGTTAAAAAGGCTGTGATGCAAACTGAACAAATGGAGCAAACTTATCAGATTCAGTTTAACCGAACTGAAATGTTGATCCTAGATCATCAAATATAAACAAATGTCACCTGAAGGTATTTCTAAGATCCAGTCTAGGCCAATCATAACCCCTCTAATCCCCTCCTAATTTACAGTATTAATGCATTTAATTAGTTAGGAAAATAGAAAATAAAAAAAGTCTTGTCTGGCTAAAGATCAAATCAATTCACATTCTAGGTGGAAACTGCATGGCTCTGTAAGTCTTTATTCTTGTTTAATAGCTAAATAAATGATGCACTAAATGTCACTAAATATAAAATAATATAAATGTGAATGTCACAATTTGAACTGGCTTCATCACGCTAAACCAAACGAGTTCAAGTTATCAGGCTTACAACAAGAAATAAAGGCATGTTTTTGAAAAAGCCTAAATTGAAACGTCAAAATCTCTGGAGACGTTGAAATTCCCCAAACGAACCTTCATGCAGAAGCTCAGAAAGAACGATCTGAGATCTCAAACCCCACTTCAGCTCTCTTAGACACCAGAGATGGAGAGAAAAACAAAACATAATTTCCTTTAAAAGTACCCCCCCACTGAAGGCCTGCTGGGTGTCCCATTGACAGATCCTCTGCTGGCCTTCCTGGAATAAGCAAATGGAGAAAAGTGATGGAAGTATCCCCAGATATTGAATTGAATTGAATTTAATTGAATATACTTTATTGATCTCCAGGGAGAAACACCCTCAAAAAAGAAAAAAAAAATACTAATGAAACTGTTGTTGGTTGAACTCTGTTTGTGAGTCCGTTTAGGAACCAAGGAGGGGGAATCTGGTGAGCAAAAGTGTTCTGACCCAAAGTGTTTGGCCCTGGTGCTGATCACAGAAAGGCTGACTCAGCTTTTCTGGGTCTAACGGCTGTGGTCCGTATTCAGGCTCTGACCGGGGGTCCTGATGGGGCCCCAGCGGGAGGAGGGCGACCGGGACCGACGGGAGCGCTGGGCGGAGCTGTTCGACCAGCTCGACCTCAACAAAGATGGCCGCATCGACCTCCGGGAGCTGCGGGCGGGGCTGAAGGGGCGGGGCCTGTCCAGAGGCTCCCTGGAGAGGGTGAGAGACGCTCAACCCACCTCCGAATCAAGCTGTTAGGCCTCTGTATCAGACAGATATCTAACTACGGTTTATCCAGAACCTCAATGGTTTCCACTCCTCAGCAAAAAACAACAGACTTTATTCTGGGTTTTGCAGGATGAGTCAAAAGCACGGGACACTGTTTTGTTTCAGAAACAAAAAAATCTGTATCGGACATCTAACTACGGTTTATCCACAACCTCAACCTCAATGGTTTCCACTCATCAGCAAAATAATATGAAAACAATAGACTTCAATCTTCGTTTTGCAGGATGAGTCAAAAGCACAGGACACTGTTTTGTTTCAGAAACAAAAAAATCTGTAACAGACATCTAACTACGGTTTATCCAGAACCTCAATGGTTTCCGCTCTTCAGCAAAATCATATAAAAACAATAGACTTTAATCTTCGTTTTGCAGGAGGAGTCAAAAGCACAGGACACTGTTTTGTTTCAGAAACAAAAAGAAAAGTGACACATCTGAGTAGTACTTATATTTTTAGGCTATTCTTGAAGATGGCCGCCAACTTAAAAGCCGCCATATTGGATCGAGGAAAGATTTTAACCAATGGGAAGGTGGTAATCTAGATTATCAGAGAAGACCAGAATTGTCTCAGAAGTCTTTTGCCACAATTAGATTTCTAAAATCTCTTGTAGTTTAAAAGTCAGCAACACAGTGTCCTGTGTTTCTACACTAAATCACCATTCCAGTCGATATTATTATCATCACAACTGAGTTTTGTGAGCATAAATCTGTACATGTGTGATTCCATATTGCTGTTAAGTTTATTTAGGCGTTGAAACATAATAATATCCGATAAAGTTAAGCATATACGGCTCGATTCCATCCTCATTTTTGGCCAACAAAGCGTATTTTAACCAACATGATCGCGAACTAACTTTCTTCCTTTAGTCTGTGTCATTTGGGTTTTCGTCTGTTTATGCAACAGCACAGAATACCAGCATAGCTTTGTGTAGTGAACACACACAATCTCTCTCACTCCTCTCACCAGTTTGAAAAAGGTCTTTGGGTGACCTTTTATACTTTTTGATTCTTCTATATTTTTAGACATTAAAAACAGCGTCTTGAACCAGCTTAGACGGTCTGAAGTCCATCTTTTAACATTAGATTTAGGCTTCTGTTGAGATAAGAGTTGTTGTGTGTGTGTGTATCTGTGTGCGTTTGTGTGTTTTGCACATGTGAAGGCCGGCATGCTGCGGCTATTTTGGTAGAAAGAGGCAACCTTTGTAAGCTGAGAGGGGTAACATTTCCACGTGTCTTCTCGGTCTCTTTTCCTGTCTGGGTTATTGCCCACACAGTTTATATTCTGCCATGTATCTATTTGTGTTGTCACCACAATTGATTTGTTTGAAGCATTTTTTGCAGATGTGGACCATTTTAGTAAATAATTGAGCATCAATGATGAAAAAGAAAAATGGGAAGATTCATTTTCAGAAATAACCATCACAGATGTCATTAGACAATGTTAAACATGATTTTATGACCTGGTTGTGTTAAAAAATGCAAAGATAGTGGTTTTCTTCTTCAGTATTTGTCCATTGGATGCCAGAAATTAGGCTTTGGAAAAGCTCTTAACCCTACAATGCCAAATGTATAATATTTGCTACATACGGTTTCTGAAATGTTTTGCGTCTGACACCTTTTGCATAATTTATTGGTAAAAACTTTGCTCAAAATCCTATTGTACACAATCAGATACACCTGATAACAGGGGGCAGAAGACTACACAAAAAATAATCTTGACTTATCGCATAGTAATAAATTATTAATATTGAAAAAATATTTTAGTTTTTTCTTTTTACATATTTTGTTAAAAGGCCGAATAAGGAATCCAAACCAAAAAAAAGGAATTTTCTGTTTTGTTTAATTCTTGGATCAGGCTTTAAAGGGTTAATTGGACTTTATTATTACTAGCTGGGTAGCATAGTCTCCGAGCTACTGTTTTTCAAGGCCTTCCCTGTTTTGCCGCCAGATGGTGAAGGTCGGAGACACCAACCAGGATGGCGTTCTGGACTTCGAGGAGTTCATCCAGTACCTGAGTAACCACGAGAAGCAGCTCAGACTCATGTTTCACCGCCTGGACCGGAACAATGACGGTCTGTGGCAGCTCACAGAGGAATGAACTGGAATAAATGACCCGTCTCCTCTCCTTCTGAGTGGCTGTGGCCGTTGGCTGTTTCAGGTCAGATCGACGCGGCAGAGATCCGGGACTGTCTCCGCTCCATCGGTGTGAATATAAGCAAGGAGGACGCCACCAGGATTTTAAAGAGGTCTGATATCCCACAGCTCCCTGCGTCAGAACACACACATTTCTACAAGTAGATAAACAAACAGACCAAAGTCCATGAAAATCTAGCGCCAGAGACTATTTAGTTAACCAGGAAATGTCTGTCTACAGAGGTCCAACCTATGTTGACATTCACATTTTCACAAACCTATTAAAGTATTAAGTAAAGTAAAGTATTAAAGGAGACATATTGTACCCTATTTCAGCAAGTTAACCTAGTTCCCCGGTGTCCTAATGTAATGTCTGTGACAAGCTTTGGTCAAAATCCCATAAGGATGAAGCCCAATAGCAGTTCAGTCCCCCTGCCTAACCCTAACCCTAACCCTAACCCAAAACAGCCCCGTTCAGAGCGCTCGCTTTGGAGTGCCTGTCTCTTTAAATGCAAATGAGACACAGGCAATCCACCCACTTCTTCAGGGAGGTGTGCCCACGTCGGCACGCTGACGCTACCATGCTAACACTACCACGCTAACGCTACCACGCTAACACTCCCATGCTAACGCTACCATGCTAACGCTACCATGCTAACGCTACCATGCTAACGCTACCATGCTAACGCTCACGCTACCACGACGTCTGCCACAGATAGGGGAGTAAGCTGAGGGGGGGGGCAACATGCAGGTGAAAGGCTGGAATATTATAATGAGCTAGAGCTAATGACGTCAGAAACTACCCACTCCTGAAACCTCCTGATTTATCTCCTGGATTCAGACTTAGGCGGCCCACAAAAACATGACCGAGTCATTTTTTTTCACACTTTGCCTGCTGATAGGCCCTCCACAGTCCCAAATGTACATAATCAAATGATTAAAAACTTGGTTTTGCATAATATGTCCCCTTTATATCACAGTTTTACAGCTAAAAACCTTAAAATAAAGCTTGAGTTCGCATTTCTTCAGTGATCAGACGGTCTCAAACGTCTTTATAACTGAACCGAACCGTTTATTGAGTCTGTTTCCTTTGCAGTATGGACAAAGATGGCACCATGACCATAGACTGGAACGAGTGGCGAGACCACTTCCTGTTCAACCCTCTCACCAACATGGAGGATGTGGCCCGCTTCTGGAAGCGCTCAATGGTAAGGTCTCCCATGAACAGAGAAGGGATCCTCACTGGTTAGCAAAAAATGTCCTGCTACAGACATTATGACTATATCCTATGTCCAGAACAGGGCGGCCATCTTGAAAGCCACCATATTGGATCAAAAGCAAGTTTTCTAATGGGAAACTGGTTATATAGCCAATCAAAGATGAGCAGGATTGTCTCAGAAATCAGATTTACAACATCTGGGTCCAAAAGTTTTCATATATTAACTTTATTACATACTTGTCGTTGCAGATCAACATTGCACATTTCAATTGTTCATTTGCACATTCGGATCTATATTTTTAAAGATTGTATTTTTCAGTTTTATCATTTCTGTCCTATATTTTTATTTCTACATTTTATTTCTTGCTTCTCATAGAAGTGTTGTGTTGTGCACCAAACACCAAGGCAAATTCCTTGTAAGTCTAAAAACCTACTTGGCAATAAATCTTATTCTGATTCTGATTCTGATTCTACTTTAGTTATCACTATATTTCAAGATGGTGGCCATGTTCCCTTTACTGTCGTCTTCCTTCTGTTTGTGAGACCAAACGGTGTCTGGAGGATTGTGACTGTAGTTATTGTGCGCGTCCTGACTTCAGTAGATGTTGGACACAGGCGAGCAGCTGTCAGTCCCGGATGACTTTTCGGAGGAGGAGAAGAGGTCCGGTTATGTGTGGCGGCAGCTGCTGGCCGGAGCCGTGGCCGGTTCCGTGTCCCGCACCGGGACGGCTCCCCTGGACCGGCTCAAGGTCTTCAGACAGGTCCGACAGAACCCGTCGCCTCGCTGTGGCTCTCCTGTTCTTTTTTATTTTTTTAATTTAAATTTTTATTTTTTATTTTTTTAATTGAACTTTTTTGCAAAGCAGGGAAATATCAAATATTAAACACTCTAGTCTACATACATATGAGAGGGATTTACACATGTATATAATAATAATAATAAAACAAACAAACAAACAAACAAACAAACAAACAAACAAATAAATAAATAAATAAATAAATAAATAAATAAATAAATAATAATCTCCTGTTTTTACTGACATAAATAGACCTGGAAAAAAAGGAAAAAAATAAGACCAGGACGGCTCCCCTGGACCGACTAAAGGTCTTCAGACAGGTCCGACAGAACCGCTCACCTCACTGTTGTTCTCCTGTTCTTTTTTTATTTTTTTTAATTATTTTTTTATTGAACTTTTTTTCAAAGCAGGGAAACATCAAATATTAAACACTCTACAGGGGCGTCCAACTCCGGTCCTCGAGGGCCGCTGTCCTGCAGGTTTTAGACATTTTCCTGCTTCTGCACACCTGATTCTTATTAAATTGGATCTCCTCTGGACATTGTTGATCTTTGCACCTGTCTAATGGCCCTTTGATGTGAATCAGGTGTGTGGAAAAAGGGTTACCTCTAAAACCTGCAGGACAGTGGCCCTCGAGGACTGGAGTTTGACACCCTGCTCTACATACATATGAGAGGGATGTACACATATATAAGAATAATAATTTTAAAAAATAACAAAAAATAATAATCTCCTGTTCTTACTGACATAAAGAGACCTGGAAAAAAAGTAAAAAAATAAGACAGTTTGCAGAATCAAACCATTACTACATTTATTTTTTTTCTGTTTGGGTTATTTATGCAGTTTATTATAAGTGTTGTAAGGAATTTGACCTTAAAAAGATCTGCAGCCTTTTTTTCCACTGTTGTTTTTTTTACCTGATATTAAAACAACATGATTTATGTGGTCATAACAAGGATGGGGTTCAGCTTTCTATTTTTAAACCCAGTGTATTGCCTCACTTCTTTTCTTTAACCGTCCCTGAAACCTGCTTTTATTAGCTAAACTGTTCCTGAAACCTGCGGTTAGGAAGGGAAGGGCGGGGGGTCGGTTCTACTGGTTCTAATGTTTATTTTCAGCGTTTTAAGTGTTTTTTAGCTAATCAGAAATGGACTTTCTCTGCTCCGACAGGTTCACGGCTCCTCGGATTTCAAAGGCAACGCACTGAGGGCCTTTCAGTCCATGTTTAAAGAGGGAGGCCTGTGGTCGCTGTGGAGGGGGAACGGCGTCAACGTCTTAAAAATCGCACCCGAAATGGCGATCAAGTTCACAGCGTACGAACAGGTGGAGCCCTCTGAACATCTCAGTCAGCCGGTCCTTCTTCCACTTGCAAATTCATTAGATTTGACACTTTTCTCTCCAGATTGCAGCTGTTCATTTGGGCAGTCAAACACCTGAAC